TTTCTTTAAACTACACTAAACTTATTTTAACCAGTGGGTTTCAACACCATCGCACCGTGCATGTTGCTGTTTCTTACGGGGCACCACAGGATATTTAAAAATAACATTATGAATGCGTCCTTTCTGCGACGGGTCGGCAGCCTTGGCAGCCGTAGCCCCCGGGACCGGCTTTGGACCCCTGTGACTCTGCATAGGACGAGAAAATGGATGGACGTCTCCTCTGTGCACTTGTTAACCGCTGTCCTGTCCCACGCCGCCCCCTGCAGGTGGAAGTGAAGCCATACGTCTTGGACGACCAGCTGTGTGACGAGTGCCAGGGCACGCGCTGCGGGGGCAAGTTCGCGCCCTTCTTCTGCGCCAACGTCACCTGCCTCCAGTATTACTGTGAATATTGCTGGGCGGCCATCCACTCGCGCGCCGGCCGGGAGTTCCACAAGCCGCTGGTGAAGGAGGGCGGCGACAGGCCCCGGCACATCTCCTTCCGCTGGAACTAAGCGGGGACGGTGTGGCCGGCTGTCACGCCCCCAAACCCAACCCCGCACCCAACCCCGCCCCCAACCACACATAGATAGATTATATATATATATACATATACATATATATCTATATAAATGCACTTTTCTGTTGCTGGTTCCTTTTTAAGTTTAGAATCTAATCTTTAATTTTTAATTTAATATATTTAAAAAGAAATATTAAGACAAACAAACGTGTTAAGAAAAAAAGACGAAATCCCACTTTCCCTCTGACTGTGTATGATTTTTAATTTTTTATTTTTTTTTTAATGTCTTAGTGAACGTCAAAGTTGAGAACTTCCAGTATGAACGTAAACGTTTCATGGTCTGATAGGGCTGCATATTGATCCCGGCCCCCCACCCCCACCCCCACCTTGTGCATAATTGGCAACACCTTGACCTTTCAGTACGGAGTACGTCTTCTCCAGCTCGACTGGAATAGTTTGCTTCCGGAAGGACGTGTAGCTTGTGTTAAGGAGAAGAGAGTGCAATTTCTGTAAGGGTGCAGTTTTCACATCAAAAACCCAGTCCTCACCTTAATCACCTTAATTGTTTTTCAAATAATACCCACAGACTTCCTGTGCATTTAGATAAATTCTGTTATACAACTTTATTATTTGACAACTGCTTTCATCACAGCTGTTTGTGTTCTCCATTTTGACATGCAAAACTTAATACCTCAAGCTTAGCTGCTAATATCGAAAGGTATATTCAGAGTAAATCTCTCCCCCACTCCCCTAAACATGGCAATCGATGGGAAACAGATTCGCAACAGTTAGGTTCTCGCCAGTGCTTTTCCCCTGATTTCCGTTAGAGGTTTCCGATATTACAAAATGACTGGAACGTAGAGTAACTGGGTCAGAGGCCAAATGCTATAGGAGAAAGGTCCTCCGGCCTGTGCTCATGTCGTCGGAGGAGCAATCGGTACCACGAGCAAGCGCACGACACAGCGGGGCACGCTGAGTGAGACGAGAGTATCTTTCTCGTCAGAGGCGACTCTGAAAGCCTGACCACGTTTTTGTATCACCTGTGTCAATGCAGCTAATGCATGTTTATAGTCTAGCTAGTGTATAGCATGCCGTCTGCTGCGTTGTGTGCTGCAGCCTGCAAGTTGCTCATTCAGACCAAGACTGAAACAGGTAATATCTAGACGCTTTAAGGAACTCCAGCCAAAGATGGTTGTTGCGCCGTGATTAATACTGTAACGTATTCCTATTATCGTCAAAATATATTTTGTTGAATTTTTATGGTTTATCCTAAGATGAGACAGGCTCCAGCAAACCAAAGATTGGCCTCGAAATCAATTGAGCACAGTTAATGTCCAGAAGCACCGCAGACAGACGTCTTTCTGTAGGTCGGTCCACTCATTTCCAAAGGTCAAAATGGAGACGTTTTGTTTGGAGATAATCCGAAAACAAACGCTTACAGTAGTTGTAGATTATTTACAGATGTACTGTATCTGGATCTGCTAACATGTAACTTGTCAGGGATTTTAGCGCTGAAATAAAACTTATTAATATACTAGTGAGAACTTACCCTCGTGTTGACTTGATGGCGTTCAGCCACACCGGGTCTCCCGTGACATCGTCACGTGGACACGGTGGCTGAACACTTTAGTAGTTTAACACTTTTTGAAGAATTTGCTGTTTATGAGATGAAAAAGTGATTATTTTATACATGTCCTGCTGATTTTTTGGTACAGTGTTTTCTAGCAAAATTATTTTGTCATGCACATGTAAACATTTATTATGCACTACTTTTCTAAATCTTTTTTTCCAACAGTCATTTTAGGCACATTTTTCACTAATGGGGAAAACTCCTTTTTGCAATACCTCAATTTTTCACATTGTGAAAGGTAGCTTTTGTACTTTTGTTACTGAAAGATCTACATTTATGGTAAATTTCATTTAAAAGAAAGAGTGGTTTTAATATATTTTATTTTCTATTATGCTTTTTATACATTTCAGTGCTGAGGAGTCTCTCCATCTCGGAGAGTGTTCTGGTGTCAGTATGACTTCGGTTCTGCAGAGGAAAGAGCAAAAGTGTATTCCGATCTTTTACACAAGACGTTTCTGAACAAGCGGGGAATTAAAAAAAAAAAAAGTGCATCTTAGAGCATGACAACAACAAGTTACTACACAAAATTTAATGTCAAACTATCTTCAGCACCTGTCAGTTTTAGATGGACGCAAGTGTGTTTATTTTATTTTTTTTTCCTCCCTCAAAATAGCTGGAGTTACTATAAGAATGCAAATTTGGTTCGTGTTAGGCTGTCGCGTATCAGAGGAATGGATGTTAGGTGTTTAGATATTTCAGCATTTTAAAATATATATTCTTGAACTGCCAACTAGGTCCTATTGTAATCCTTAGCATGCATGATTAAAATGAAATAATTACAGAAATAAGCTTAATAAGCTGAAATTAATTGTTGTGATTGTGTACCAGACATGTTTCTAAATGTTTAATTTATTAAGGAATCCGCCCCCATACCCCTCCCAATGTGTTAATCTCTTTGCCTTCACCATACACAGCCCCCTCTGCAGGACTTGTAGAGAACTCTAAATCAATTTTACAGTGCAGGACTTTAGAATCTTATAGGACACTGTTAAAAAAGACTTGATCACTCATACACCTTCCTTTCTGGGTACTGAGCCTTTAGAGAAAGGGCACTTTAAGACTTGAATGTGGTAAATGTTGCAAGTTAACTTCAAGTTGTTATGTGCAATACTTTTTATTTGAAGTTTTTTTTCCTCCTCTAGATAAAGAGTCCTTTGCAATGTAATTCTTTAATGCCATTTTTAATTGCAGACATTTAAAGAAGATGTTAATGTTTTTCACAGTCATTTTCTACTGTTGTAATCCTTTTCATGCTAGTGTTTGTAAAAATGGAAAAAAAATCAAAACTATTTGTACTAATATAAATAATTGAAGTTATTTTTAAAAGTTTAGGTTTTTGTGCTCATTTGCTTATTTTATTTCAAGCTACTGTGATTGATTGCATTGTAATTATATCAATGTATTTAGCAGTTTATTGGTATATTTTTAATTGGAATGTAATTATTTTTTATAATTTTGATCAGATTTGTGTTATATTTTTGAGGTGAAGCTTTTAATATGTTAAAGTGTCTAGTTTTTACTAATTTCTATATTGTGCTACCACAACATATGGTTCACATTTTCAGAAGGAAAAAAAAAGATTAAATATTTGTTAATGATGTTACTTAATAGCTAAATTTCATTAGTTTTTAACTGTGTATGGGAAGGTTATTTATTAATAGCATTTTTACTTAAGATATCACCTTAATTTTGTCATTTTACATTTATAAGTTTGTATTTTTGTATTTTGTTTCTAATTAAGTTATGTCATACAAATGTCCATATTTTTAGGGGTTGGTCTGTAGAAGTGCTAGTGAAATGAGACGAAATCTAATGTTATTTAATTGTTTGCAGCCAACTATTTATAACAGTATGCATCATTTTTAAATATTTGTAATGTGAAATGTTGAATGAATAAAAGTTAACTGTGACAACATGGCGCAGCTGGACTCACTTCCTGTAGTGAGTGTCCCTGCCGATTTCCAACATCTCAACATATACTGGTAACTGTCACCAGAATTCCGAAAATGATTGTTAGAGACCAAAACACAAAATCATGTCCCATCCAGAAAGCTTAAGAAACCCAGCGTTCTCTATTGTATAAAATCGTTTTTTTTTTTATCCTTACTGAAACACTTTAAGCATCTTTCGATATGAATACTGCAGTTACTTGCAATAAAACAAATTTTAGCGCCCTCGTCTGGCAGGATCGTAGTTAACGTATCGGTCTAGGAGGTTAATTCGCATCTGTCTATGTTTTAATAATGGTTCTCAACCTTGGTCTTGACAGCTAACAGTCTGCAGGGTTTTACTATACTGAAGCACTTGGGCATTTGACTAAATTAATTAGTTACGGTACTTCATCCAATTTGCCCTCTCCTTGTATTGAGATGGTTAGTTCTTACACAGCTAGATAACCTGGGTGTACTTTTGCCCACCAGGATCAAGGTGAAGGACCACTGAAATTATTTAATTGAAATCGTTATCAAAAATATACACGGGTCTACGTTTAACTGGCATTATATATTTACCGTTAAAGTCAATTTCTGATTTCTAAAAGTGCGAAAATGCTCTCGTGCAATTAGATAATGATTAAAAAGGTGTTTCATGTTATTAAATGATTGAGTGGTAACAGCTGAATTTGTGACTTAAGAGCATACATTTTAGAATTTTTAGGATATAACTTACCAGAAACAATACTCATCAAAAAAAATTCAAAGTTTAGAAGTGGTGTCAAATGGATGCAGCCTTTTGTAAACTGAACTGACATAATTGTAGCTTTGCAAAATCCAGTGTTTGTGTGTATAGGACTATAGGTACAATTACAAGAAATCCGGGTATCAGGTGCGGCGAGATCTTTTGTGGCGGTAATAATCAGTCATAAACCGTAGGAAAAAAACCAGTCGGCCTAATGCCTTTGCGTGCAACACAGCAAATGTGGACGTTTGGTAATACATGACAAGCACAGTTACAGCCTATTCCATGCTATTTGCTTAGTGCGCGAATTGCGCCAGGCACGTCTCAAGCGAAGGGCGTCACGCTCGTGGCCGGCAGGTGGCGATCGAGACATGCTAACGACCGGCGGGGGCTGCATATTGCGGACCCCCGCTGAGCTCCTCCTAGCGGCTTTGGAAGCGAAGTGTAACCACGGGCAGTCTTCGCATGGGCTTGTTCTGCGAGAGCCCCCAGCATCTGCAGGCTTGGTCGCCACTCGAGATCGCCGAGCTACTCTTCGCTGGTCTTTGAAATATAATCGCAATTGCTAATCACTGCAACGCAGTTCGTAACGCAGTTCCTCGGTTTCATCAGTAAAACGCAGCCCAGCTGCAATAATAGACCGTCTGAAGGAATCACTAAGAACAATAGAGTCAGTGTCAGTAAGTATTCATGATAATGTTCTGCTGTGTGATTTGAAGGGACGCAGCGATGCAATTGTGGCTTTGGACTGTGTATCATCTATTTGCATTTCAATATTTTATTTTTTATAGTAATCCGTAAACTAGTTAATTAGTCGGTTATAGCATTTCAGCATATTGTGGGGAAAGTACAATTTTCTAATTGCTCTCTAATATCAGTTGATACCTTAAGTTACCTTAACTTTCACGATTTTTCCAAGACGACTACGATAATCTGAGTAAAAAAAAGGTCACTTAACACCTTTTCTACTTTATCTGCTGTTTATTAATATGTGGATTCATATTAATATTTGATTATTTGTTTTTTTTCTAGAGTAAATAGTGAAATACCGGGATTTTTAGAAGATGGTTAAACTGGGAATTAATTTACAAGACAAAGGCAGCAAACCGGCCAGCGCGGAGGATGGATTTCAGACTGTGCCGCTCATCACGCCCCTGGACGTGAACCATCTACAATACCCGGCGCCAGATAAGGTACGCGCCGGCTGTCTGGCCGTTAAACCAACAGCCGTGTCATTATCTTAATGACAAAGCTATGAACTGCACATCTGCATCAGTCCTACAATACGTCTGTCTCTAATACTGCCGGTCATTGTTGAAAGTGAACGAAGCGGAGCGGACTCACCCCAATATATGTATAATTTAAGTTACACATGTTTAAACGGCGACGCGCCTTATGTGCGCGCACCCTGCTCCACGAATCACCAAACAATAGACAACAGATCGGCCTTAATTACATTTTTTTTTCTAGAATCCGTAAATATATGCAGGATTACCCACAGCTATTGACATATGCCGTTGGACAATCTGCATATGTAAAGACAGTTCATTTTGATTACTACAGCGTCTGCTCTTGGTAAACAAGGCAAGAGAGCAAAGAATTATACGTGTACCTCACTGTTATTCTCCAATGTTAACTGTTATTAGGGCTACATTTAAACAAATTTTAGTATTACATTTAGCATTAAATTATATGTATTGTATATAATATTAGGCCTACATAATATTCACTGTGTATTACATGTACTAGCTTAAATAAAATTGTATTAGAATACGTGAAAAAATGTTTTTTTTTTAACCTCTTGTCAAGCACAGCATCGATAGGAGAAGATCATTACGGTAATTGTCATGGGAAGCGGTGTTATTTGAGGATGCGTCATTATTTAATTTCTGGGTTTACAGACTTCCTGAGAAATGCCAGGCTGTGTCAGAGGAGCCTGTCTGCTTGCCGGTAATAACCTCCGCACTTAGGCGGCAGTAGCCTGTATGGATGCGTGAAGCTGCTTCGGACCATGAGCGCTGCTGCGCTTTTATTGCTTCGTGCGTCGCACGCTTCCTTCCCGGAGCCCGATGGAGACGGTCTGAGTTGCTCTTAGCTTGGACGCCAGCGGCTTGTTTCCTAGACTAGGGGTCCGTTTCCTGCATTTTATCTGATGGGACCTGCGGCAGGCGCAGGTTAGAGGGTAATGAGGCTGTAACGGAAGAATCATCATTGTCTCACAGGGGATGTTTAAACCCCAAAGGATAATGCAATGCATTGTTTAAAATTTGCGCCGGGTTAATAAAGTAATAAATAAATGACAATCGATTTTTTCTTTTCAAGAACAGAACAACAAAGGCAAACGTTAAATCGATCTTGGAAATAATGCTGCTGTTGTAAATAAACTGCATTTGGTGACTACTGTCCCTGTAGAAATATTTTTAAATACTTGCAAAACCATAGAATGGAACAGGGCTCTGGAATGGAATTTCATACAATACACGAAAGAACCGACAATGCACTAAAATGATTTTATTCTATAACTAATTTACCACAGCCATTATTACGGGGCTGGAAAAAGTGTAGTGTTTTGACATGTAAACAGGGTAATGTGGACCGAGCAGAAAAATAATTTGGGGCATGCTTCAAATTTTGGAAAAATAATGATTATCGGCACCTTTGGAGATCACCATTAGTGTCATATTCTGTGATATTGGATTGCAGATTAAGAAGCAGAGATTAAATTTCTGGAAGTGGGATACATTCCCCAGACAAAAGGAGTTTCCATTAAAGACTGCAGAGAGTCTGGTGACGCCACGCTTCCCCGCTTCAACACAACAGTTGTCACGAAAAAAAAAAAAAAAGCTGTTATCCTTAAGATTGCCTGACAAACTGACGAGCGAATTGTAGTACAAGTTGTACCTTTTCTTTAGTATTAACAACAAGGGTAGAGAAAGCAAGACCCACTTTACGGTTGGCAAAGGCGTAAAGTGTGCTAGCTAGGGTGTGTTGGGTCATTGTAATATTTGGATTGAAGTTGGGGGAATTAATGAATTTTAAACATCAAGGCAGCCTCTAGGCCTAAGTACTGGTTGCATTAAAAGAGACCTAAAAATGATGCAATCAGAGATCAATGAAGTTGGCTTTACGTCTTCAGACATTTTGGTCAGTACTGCCTAATAATGTAATACTAGACAGCCTTCCACAGGGACAAAAAAGGATTATTAAAAAAAAAAAAAAAAAGATTATCAATCCCATTTTGCGGGTCTAAATTGCTTTCAATGAAAACTACATTATATATGAGTATTTTCCGCCAGTTTCCGTAGTAAACCTTTACACGGGCAGGCGTGTTTATCAACGAGTAACCAAGGCAACATTTAGGGTAGGAAATAGGCCAAGGTGGGTAGTTACTGAATCATAATTTGTTTAATTTAGTGGCTTTTACAGTTTCAGGTCAGTCATGTGTCATTTTCCTCCCATATTGCATTTGCATGGTAATTTGCATAATTAGCTTTTGATTTATTAGGTTATTTACTGAAAAAGATTATACTTGGTGTTCAGACCTCAACTTATGTTAAGTAGAATGGATTCATGGAATCCCAGTGTGTTACCATTGGGTGGTGTGTGCTTCACTGGGTTAGAACACCGTGCCTCTGTCCCAGGAGTCGCGGGTTCGAATGCCAGCATTGGCGGATTTCACCATTGGATCCCTAAGCAAAGTTCTTAATCTCCAGTCGCTCCCAGGACTGGCTGACACTGCTCTCTCAGTTGTATGTTATTCAGGACGAATGCAGCTGCTCAACTAGCAAAATATAACCAAAACAGTATGAGCCTATTTGAGTGGCCTGTAAATGGGTGAATCTGCTTGGCTACGGTTATAGAAACACAACCAGGCTTTGTTTGCATTTCGCAAACTGCCATGAGCTGTACTCAGACAAATAAGCAAAAGATTTAATGGTAATTCACTGGTGAAAGGATTTATGATATATAGACAAAACATACTCAAGTCCAAGTCAGAGAAGAAACATTATCCTTTACTATGAACCATTTATTTGCCCTGTATAATGGAGAAATTGGGAAGTAACAGACAAATGAATCTGACAAGTGGTATGTGAAATGGTTAAGAACGTTTCTGTCTGTCTCAAAGTAGTAGTTTTGTTAACTGCATACTTGTTTGGTTACACTACTTAATAGACATGTGTAAGAAATATAACAAAAAAAACCAAAAGTGTGAAATGTATTCTAAGGTATGAAATATATTTTTTCCTAATTTCACTTCTGAGTAAGTTCTGTGCCAGCGGTAACCAGGGCTGATCCTGGGGACGACTGTGTCAGCGATTGTCTAGGGCAGCATCTTCTGAGGGGGGACTCGAGCTGCGACACCCTCTCCCCCCAATAATTTTTACCATAAGCTGGGGGAGAGCAGTACACTGGCGTTAAACTGCAAATAATTATATAAATACCAAAGTGGAAAACGTTTCCTTCTTATTGCTGAAGGTTAGGGTTTTGTCAGAGTGCATATTAATTCATTACAGCCAGTATAGAAATTCACCCATATGTAATGGTTTATTTGTCACTTTGTCATTGGTCTAGGAGTGCGGTTGACTTTGAAGACTATCCCAAACACATGACCTGCAACAGACTCTTGGTGTGCCATTGTGTTCGTCTCCCCTCTAGGTCGTGGTCAAGACCAGAACTGAGTATCAGACTGACCAGAAGAATAAGGGCAAGCTGAAGCTTCCAAAGGTGGAGGAACTGACCATAAGCTTCAACGATGGCGTGTCAGAAAGACTTAAGGTAGGACTATGCCAGAACTTTGGCGTTTATTTGGGAACTTGGCTCTAAGCAGTATTTAAACTTGCATATCTTTGATACAACCTATCAGATTGTAGAGGATGTAGGTCCCAGCAACTAGAGGAGGTGAGACCAAGACATCTGATTGGTTGGTCCTGCCTTCTCTAGTTGCTTGGACCCACCTCTTTTACAATTTGATTGGTTATTTCTCTGACCCAGTCATTTTTCCTTCTGCCCTCAGAGCATTTTTGCGTATGTAAAACCCCAATGAGCCAACTGACTGTAATCTGTACAGATTTTTTTCATGTTTAAATCTTTTTGATTTTATTTCTATTTTTAAAATTTAATTTATGCTCTAGGTTGTTTGTGAATACTACCAAGACAAATTCCTAACACATGCAGGTAAACTTGGTCAATAAAGTGAATTCTGATTTAAATATGTGTGTCCACATTTACGTTTTGCATAATGAGTAATATTTCACAACCTACAAAAAAACGTTGATAGCATAGTACTTCTGCGGGAGGATCAAAGTGGTAATCAATAATAATCAATGGTGCTCAATTTTTACGATCATAATAAACTATAGTGGTATAAATTTCTCTCTATCTGCACATATATAACACATCTGAGAAAACACAGGAATGATTGGGAGTGAGTTGACAGCAATTGTGATATGGCACAAACTCAAGGAACGTGAGATTTGAGTAGGCTGACAGTATTGCCGGATTTCTGTAATGTCTACTGTCTGATAAGCCTAACAGTGTGATGGTGACTAGTTAATTGCTATGAAATAATGAACAGAAAACCTAAGTCAATCTTAGGCATCTCATTCGTAGCCATACTATGATTTTTGTTTTTGAAAGCTCAGTATCTATTTGGTGACAGTTGTAAATTCAGGTGATTTTTGTGAAGACTTGACTGCATACTCTCCCTTCAGTATATGATTTGCTTTAGACTCATGCACCGTTTCGTTTATGCGCCCTGCATGGTCTTGTGTGTTCATTCCATGGATACATAAAACGTTCCATCTGACGCCAACCGATGTGAGAGGTCAGCATGTCAGCAAAAAAAAACAACAAAGGAAAACGGAAGAATCGTTTTACACGCAGATGAATGCACGATGTCATTAAGTATGTCTTTTTGGCTGTTGAATTGAATTTGACACGCACTGCTAGACTCTTTGAGAACCTGTCGATTCGACACGGGATGCGCCGCTACAGGAAAATTGCCCTGTAATTACCACTTTATTATGCATTTTAAGTCATAATTTAAATGCCATAGGTTGCAGATTCAGCTGCCTCATGTAATACTATTCAACTGCCGTTTGTTGTGAAAACACTTGGCTTGCATGTTGTATTTCTGCAGTGGAGATGTCATAGGGCATTGCGAAGCATCACAATTAACTTGAGGTAGACGGCTTGTTAGACGCAGTTATAAGGTACATTCTCTCTCAAGTCTTCAGTGTCTTCTGTATGAAAGTTGAGCGATGAGCAGCATTATGAGGTCATCGCTCGTTACCGTGGTGATGTCATCATGGTTGCCATAGCCCTTTTTCATTTGCCAGTGATAACATGATCTCTAGAGAAGTCAAAAGGGACAGAAACAAGCCTTTTTGCTGATCTAATTGTATTCACTCATGTTTTGTTCGTCTCATCTTTTTTGGCAACAGCTTGGGGGTGTGTGTCACTTTGGCAGGTCAGACAAGATCAACTGTTTCATTTTGTAGTCTTAAATGATCTAGTATCTTGTCAGTGGAATCAGACCACTCATCCGCAGCATCCCCACAGAAGCTACAAAATGTTTAGACTTACCAGAAGATTCTTTATAAATTCCATTCAGTCATGGGTAGCGCTTACGTTTTTAAGTTTCTAATCCTTCCTTTTATTTAGAAGCGCTTGGTTTTTCAAAAATTGCGTTATTGTCTGGTCACTGGAATAGCTACGAAGAAGCTGCCCAGTAAGACAACCTGGATGTAATTTAACTTTTTTAAAAAGGAGAAGATGGTATTTTGTGCTTTATACACATGCAGTGTGGCGTTAATTGAGCACACAGTACGCTGCAAATTGTATTTCAGATTGCATTCAGCGAGACAGAAAAAGGAGTATGGAACACGAGAGGCGAAGGCAATTCATTTTTTTTTCCATTCATCACCTTCAAAGGAACTTAATGATTTTGCTGTCATAGGACCTAAGAGTGTGTGCGGAGCAGCAGAGATGATTTTTGCATTAGCTGATGGCTTTTTCTCAGTCCACGTTTCATTAAATTAACATCTCAGCTTTAATAGAGCGCTTCAATTTTCCCAGTGACGAGATAAAACCAATCCTAAAATTAATATAACACAGCCTTTGTTTCGAAAGTGTCAATGACAAGTCTACCAAAGTCACAATGATGAGGTGTGTGTGGGGGGGGGTGATTAGGTTGGGCCAATTTAAAAAAGAAAAACTTCAAAAAATTTTGAAAAAAAATTCAAAATGAACAGAACTCATGCACAGTAATATCCTTTCTGCTTTGTATCTAGTCTCACGTTCTATCTGGAAGTAGCTCAAACGTGAAGAATGGCATGACTAGTGAAGGAATTCTTCGAAATTTGGGGCTACTTCCAGGCATGAGCACCTACAAATCTGACATCATCATCTGCAGGTCTCTGAATGTTCCAGATGCTAATCAAGCGCATCTTTATTTCATCACGGAAACGGGCGCGAGCGAAAACGACGTTCCTGGAAATGAGCCGCTTTGCGCTCGGGTTCTCGGGCACGAGCCGGCGGAATCACCTGCAGTGCTCTGAAATTCTCTCTTTTAACCCCCCCCCCCCCTTCCGAACCACTGTGGCCCCAGCCATGACGCAGAGCCGTGAGAGCAATTAATGGTTATGAGGCCGGCTTCCCAGTGCTCCCACTGCTCCTCCCAGCCCATCATTAGGAGGAGTAACTGGCTGAGATGCCTAGTAGGATGATGCTCCCCAGTTGCACTGGGTTTGTTGTTCAGTGCAGTGCACTGTGGGAAATAGCGAGTGCTCTATCAGACTCAGACTAGGCAGCTGGTGGCTGCTCTCCCAGCACTGCCTCTCCAACCCCAGTTGGTTTTAAAATAAGATACTGGAAACCCAATAAGTAATCCTGGCAGGGCATCCAGAGCAATAGGTATTCAAGTCTGTGTAAAGTTCACTTAAGGCTCTGCAAGTCTCTGACCTCGTTCGGTTGTCTTTTTTGTGGGGTCATTTACATAATTTTCCTAAATAGCCGCATGTTACTAAGGAGGTCAAGGTCCCCTTGAAGGATTGTGTTGAGCGCCTGTGATTCTGTCCAACTCGGTAGGATGACACGAGGGTCCCAAAGCACAACAGTGTGCGTCGGTCCTGATCTCCGCAGTCTTTTGCATTCACGCTAACCAGTGACATAAGGTTTTTTCGGAAAGGTAGCCTTCAGCGCTCTCTGAACGTCGGCACGTTTTAAATTACAGCGCATGCGGCCGTTACTTTGAAATCTGTATAATATATAACTGCAAGGATACAGAACAATAAATAATGCAATTAGATAATGATTTTAATAAAGAAATGTATTATAAATATATTATTCAGATGAGCAATAAGCTGCGTTGCTCTAGGTTGTGTGAACTTTGTCACTATGTGAATGCTGTTATGAATATTGTCACACATTGTCTAAAACAGACTTTCCAGAATGAGGTGTAATTAGAATAAATTTAGAATGTAATTAGAGCCAGAAAAATGTCTATATGAACCACAGGGTGGATCGACTGAGATGTGAGGCTGTCTTGTTCACATCTTATCTATACGGAGACAGCTCTCCATTTGCGTAAAGTCGACTTGTGTATATCGGGATTCACGCAAAAAAATAATTTGAGATGCATTGAGTTTGCACAAGCGCTAATGCAGGAAGGTGACATACTGTACATTTATGAGTACCCATGAGTACATTTGCACGTTATCTTTTCATTTATTTAATGCGTTCTTTAGTATGTTTCCGTTGCAAAATTGAAATACAGATGCAGGAAAATATTTCCAATATACTGGTGCACAAGTATGTATTTACCATATATAGATGTGTGCGGCAATTTTTCGCTGTAACAATGGAAATAATTATGTATTTATTTTATGTGCATTTGCACTGGTATGACAAGAAGTTAGTGTATTTTAACCTTTATACCGCAAAATAGGCATGATGCTGCCGTATAAAGAGTAAAACGCATGGTAATTTCTTCTCATAACAGCGTCAAATGCGTAATTGCACACTACTTATGTGCATCCCTACCAGAACAGCTGTTTGGTATTTGAACACAACACCCGACACCAGTATTCCATTCCCGAGCTTCCAGTCTTTTCTCAGTCTTCTTTTATACCCCATTTGTTTCCCAGTAAGTGCCCCAAGGTGAGAACTTATCAGACATTATTTAGGTTCCTAGGGAATGACCAGCCTTCCCATACAGCTTACCAGATGTGGGGGGGGGAGTCCCTACTGAAGCTCTAAGGTCTTCTAGAGGGGAGGAAAGGAGAAAGTGATTGTTCGAGCTGGCTTGGGTCTTTCATTGTGCGTTTGACTCTTCTGAGGTACCTTTCAGTCGAGAACTGACTGCCTTTCCTCTCAGAAGAGACCACTGGAAGAAGACATTTTGGTATAAAGTTCTTTGTCCGGGTATCTGCCTGGTGCCAAGTGCCCAGCTTTCAAGCACAGTAGTGGTGTGATGGATTGGGCCACCCTTTGGTTATAGGTGACTTTCCATTATGTGCTACAGATAATTGTGTTAAAAGCTTCATATGAATTAGGGCACGGATGTTATTGGGGGAGAGTCGGAGTCAAGGGACAGGGACTCGCACTGACCTGCAATCACTGACTAATTATTAATGATATAACGTAGGGCTTGCTCTACATTTGCGGGGTGGTGTGTGGCTCATCGGGTTAAGCCTGTGATTGGAAGGTTGTTAGTTTGAATCCCATCCTCGGCAGAATAGTCACATGTCAGTTAGGCCCCGAGCAAGGCCCTTAAC